AAATTTCTTTAGATAATGCCAATCAAAATTTTATTACCTATTTTAGTAACTGACTGAGGTTAGCATAGTTTCGGCCCTGAAAAACAATTTTCTGAAATCACTTGACCTTCACATATATATTTCGGTCCTATTATAATTTTATAATTATTACATACATAATATATGATTAATTCCAAAGTTAAACTATTTTTTGCTTGAAAAAGCAAAACATCCGATGACGTCAACATTTTAATTTTTATATAGTATATAGGCAGTATATATATAGTATGTTGAAGTATCAGTTGCTGTAAATATTTAATATTTTTACAGTCTAAATATTTTAATAAGGACGTACTGTATAGATTATGAGAGAGAAATCTAATATGTCGTTATTAGAGTTTGGAACCGGTTGCACCAACCGGTTTAAAAATCGGTTCCAACCGATTTTTTGACAATTCGGTTTGACCCGAATTCATATTCTGAAACCGGTTTGCGTTTAAAACGGGTGCAACCGGATTTCCAACCCGGTTTGATATTGAAACTTTATAGTGCTGGCCCGAATTACGAATTAAAATCACGTGACCACGGCTAAATAGTTTAGCCACCGGGTAAGTTATGTTACACAAAATTTTATTACAGATAATTGTGTCCCACAAAATTTCATATTGTGTTACACAATGGTTGTAATTCCGGCCGGAATTATAACTTGGCCAGATTTATGCCGATCACATTTAATTCTGGCCGGAATTATCAAATATATACGATTCGGTTATTCGGTTTCAATCGGGTTTTGCGAAATCGGTTTGAAACGGATCGAACCGGTTGCACCCGTTTTAAATTCGGTTTTCGAAAATAGAACCGGTTCCAAACTCTAGTCGTTATCGTGTTTATCTATAATTGGAAAATAAAATGGTAATTGTATAATATTATTTTGGAGAAAAAATGTTAAATAAATTAATTAATAATTTTAATAACTTTTTGACCTCATGAAAGACGATTAAAGTTATATCTATATATATTTAATTACATAAGTTATTATTTTTTAAGCGAAGCATAGTTAAAATTCCTGATGATTGGATCATTAGGTAACACATGATTTTATTTATTGCTTTTTCTAATAGTAGAAGTTAGAGCTTCTTTCCAGAAAAAGATCAACAAAAAATTCGGGATTTATACAAAGTTTGCAAGAATGCAAGTAGTTATAAAGTGGGCGTTTTGCATCCAAAATTTTCTGCTCATATGATGACATATCACATGATTACTCCTCTCCTGCGGGAGTTCTCATTTGACTACATATCCACTTTGATATAAAAAAATGAAAGCCCCGCGGTGTTGCCACAGGCAACCCGCCCTCCCACTCACGAATGTAGCCATGTCGTTTTGTCTTGGCTCCGAGATAATAAGTAAAAGAGAAATTTTTTTTTGCGCCATGCTGCGGCCGGAATTTACCGTATCATTCACATTGTTACTGTAGATGAATTATTATGACACCAAAAATATCATTAACACGTAAAAATCGTGTTATTAGTAATCCTTCTTTCTACGCAAACAAAAATCTAAAAACTGAAAATATTTTTATAATAAAAAATGTTCAAAGACACTAAAGAATTCACAATGTTGCTTGATGTTAATGTCTATGATTTAGAATTTCTGATTGAATATTAATAAATTTTATCAATTACAATTTATGATAAAAATTAGAGGAATGTCGATTTTTTTTTTTACTCCAATAGGTTTAACTAGCATGTAAATTTAACAATTATTTTATTCTCTAAAGATGTAGATAATTGTACTACAAAACAAATATATATTATGCCTATTGCATCCATTTTTCCAAGATAATTTTTAATTTAATCCACAATTATTATATTGTATACTTCATTTCTATAGATTCACGTAAAATTAATTTTTTCATTTCTTAAAAGTATTTCCTAAACTTAATTGATAAAATCGTTTTAATATTTACTTTAATATTATTACAGTCTAATCTTTTAATAAGGACGTATGGTATAATACCGTATAGAATATGAGAGGAAAAATCTAATTTGGCGTTATCATGTTTGTCTACAGTTGGAAAATCAAATGGAAATTGTATAATAGGTTTTTATTATTTCGGAGAGAAATGTTAACAGTATCTCATGAGGTCAGAAAGTTACTAAAATTATTAAAGCTATACAATATTTAGTTGCATAAGTTTTCATTTTGCTATTCGAAGCATAGTTAAAATTCTTGATGGTTGGATAACACATGATTCAATTTATTGCTTTTTCATAATAGCGGAAATTAGAGTTTCTTGCTAGCAAAAGAATAAATTGTAGATTATGAAGTTCAACGAAAAATTTGGAGTTTGTACCAAGTTTGCATTATTTAACTGAAACTAATAGGAATTAATTTTTTAATAACTCTCTTTATTGATAACTGATAACAAAATATCATGTTACCAAGATGTGCACGCTATGCATGTTATCAATAAAGTATATACAAAATAAAAATAACATGAAAAATTTTTTGTTATTATAAACTAATCTAAAATTTATGATTAGTTAAATTTACTACAATAAAAAAAACTATGACGATGGATTACCATCTTCATTATAATGTTTATTTAACTTTTGTTCTTTTAAATACTCCACGAAAACCTCTTTCGATACCGAATTTCTATACTCTTTTATTTGTTCTGTTTGTTCGTCCTGTTGTAAATAAAGCACTTTCGTCCAATCAAATGTCATTTGAATATGTCAATCGATCTCAATCGATTGGTCTTACCATCCGCCTTTCTATATTTATTCAATGCATCAACTTTTTCTGAGCATTATTCGTCTCTTCCCGAGCTCTTGAGTTTTCTTTTTACTCTTTTTCTCTTTTTTGCTCTCGTTACATGATTGATTCAGACCTTCTTGCACACTTCATTACTAGTTCGTTTTGTACTTACTTTTTGTCAACTTTCACTTAATTTTTTAGTAAACGTGAGATGCAAGCCAAATTAACATCGTGAAATTCTATAAATTCTTCATTCATTGGTTTTCTTGATCCGCTTGTATCCTAAACGCTGACTTTATGTTCTACTGTCTTTATTTGGTTATCTTCTTTTCGTTTTTCATTAATTATACAGTACTTACTACCTCCAATGCAGTATAATCTTTAGTTGATTATGAAATTATTTAGATGTTTCTTTGTACAAGAACCCTTGCCTATGTTTATTAACTACTTCATCTTCACCAACCTCGGTTCCAAAAATTCTATTGCGTTCTCTTGTACTATTAATGATGACTGCGATAACGCCTTCTTAGACAAACCTGACGACACAATTTTTGATCATTTTTGTTGTCCGTAAATAAAAAATCATCAAATTTTTTATTTTTTGGAGGAATTACTTAATCCAATTCCCATCAAATTATTTTCAATCGCATTCCTAACTCTAATGATGTCTTGAAATAAGCATTAAATTTATCTATATATATAGAGGTAAGGTGCATCCAAAATAAAAATTACTATTAGCTCTAAGCATTTTTTCAGGGCCGGAATTATGATAATTCCAGTCAACGTCTGAAAAAGGAAATATATTTCGGCGGCATTATCTATAAAAGGAAAGACCTACATTATTATTTTGGTCAATTCTACGCACTACCTTTGCACAATGTGTCATTATCTAATTAAATATAATATATAATTGTAAATGAAATATACAATAATGGTATGGTAGAACTCAAAATCCCGACAGGTATAAATCCGACCGAAAGTCGCTCTGTAAGATATTGACCTGTCGAGATTTTTGGATGGCACCCCCTAATAGGCCGATCCGCACACTTAATCACGGGACATTTAATAAGCAATAAAATTAGCGGCAAAACACTACAAAATTATTTTTTAAAAAAAATTTCTAACTAACACAAAAAAATAACAACAAGATACTAAAAAATTTGCATAATTAACTCAATTATGGTTAAAAAATAATTATTATAAATTCGAATGTCATGTTTTTATTAGAAATGAACAACTGAAGTTAAAAGCCATGTATTTTACATTTTATAATCCTAACTCACCTTTAAACATGAACTCTTGTTATTTATGTAAATCAAATGTATGTTATCTGCTGTATAATGAATTATATACCGCAGCGGCACGCAATGTACTACAAAAGTTCAGTACTGTTTTACACGTTGTAATTTTTTATTCTATGCTATCGATAGAACTGAAATATATAGGGTTAGTCGAGATTAGGCCTTGTGATTAATAGTGAATAATTTAAACAACGCTTACAAGCAAGTAATTATATTATTTAAGTTTAAATTTGTTTGTTTATATTTTGTTCACTTGAGGTTTCGCAAAATTGAAAATATACGTAACGAGACGAACATAACCAACCACATTAATTGACAAACTAGATATGATACAGCTGAATCTGTAAAGAAGTTGCGGAATATTGTTCAAAACCATGCCACAGTTTCAGGAAATGATCCAGTTCGGGAAATGAATCGGAAATTGACTTCAGCAAAATGACACTCGGGAAATCATACAGCAACCAGTCTATCGATCAGTTAAAGAAAAAGATCCCATTTAACAAAATTTACCACATGCAGTTAAGGGATGATAATATTTAATTAGAGGTGAAATACACTTCCCCATTGTGTAATTGACGATCACACATAGTATTGAATCAAATTTAGAATGACGTGATCATATATACAAATAATTTTCAAATTATAAAATACAAAAAATAAAAATATATATATATATAAAATCCTGAAAAAATTAAGTTAAAGGAGCTTAAGTAGCTGTTTAACAACAAGAAAGAAAGAAAGAAAAATAAAGAAAAGAGAAACGATAAGATGATTTTTAAACCACTTGAGAATTTTGAAATTAATAATTTTATTTTATCGTTTTTAAGTACAGTATTAATGATATATGTGATATATTATTATTACAAATATTTTACTCGTGTTAATCCTTTACCTGGCCCTTTCCCCCTCCCATTCATTGGTACTTTCCATTATGTTATTTGGTTTAAAGGAGATACTTTAATGTTTAATAAATATTGTTACGAGAAATATGGTGACATATATGAGACTAATAATATTTTACGAAGTATAGTTTTATGTCGACCGGAATATCTTGAAAATTTTTTATCAAATACGCATTGGATGAGATCGCCAAATCACAAAGGATTAAAAGAATTGGGAATTGAAGGAAAAGGAATAACGTACAATAATAATTTTAGGTCGTGGACATTTAATCGTAATTTTTTTAATAAAGCTATTTTGTCACCGAAATTTACTAATGAAGTTATTGATTGGACAAATGAACTTTTCAATGAATTAGAAAGTTATTGGGATAAGTTATTTCTTAGAGAAGAGATTATTAAAGAAAATAAAAATAAATTAGATTTTATTGATTGGTTTAATCATTATAAAAATGATATGATTATTAAATTATTAACTGGGGAAAGAACTTATTCAATGGCAAATTATTTTAATACTCTTAGTGATGAAAAATCTGGTCATCAATCAGAGAGAGTCGAAGATTCTGAGAAACTATTTCAAGCAATTCGTAAATTTCATACGGGACATTGTTTCTTTTTCATAATTTATCCTTTTGTACGACGTTATGTTCCGTTTTTTAAAAATATAGCAGATAATTTACTTCAAAGCATAGAGTTTACCAATCAAAAACTGGATGAAATTATTAAGAGACGTAGACAACAAATTGAAGTTACACCATTGGATAAACTCTTACCTCATGATATGTTGACATCGATGATCATCAAGAATACATTTCGTGATGGTGATTATGTCGAAACTGATGAAGCCAATAGATCTATGACTGATAGTGAAATTCGTGTCAATTTATTCGATGGAATTTCCAATGGATCTTACAAAGTAAGTTTTTAGAGAATTTTATGTTTTATTTTTAACATAAATGCAATATGCTTTAACTTGAATTATATTAACAATTCCTTTTTTTTATTTCAAATATAGTCTGCAAATATGCTTTCATTCATTATTTATTATATTGCACATCATCCAAATGTGAAAAAGAAAATGTTAGAAGAAATTGATAGTATATTCCAAGATGATAAAATGCGAACAATTAATAAAGATGATTTTTATAATCTAAAATACTGTGAAGCAATTGTAAAAGAAACAGCTCGCATTCTCCCAATTGTGCACTTTAATACAAGATATATTGATAAACCTAGTGAAATAGCAGGATATCAATGGCCAGCTGACACATTTTTTCTAATTAATGTTCAAACTATTCATAATAATGGTAATTATTGGGAGGAACCTAATGAATTTAACCCTGATAGATGGATGAATGAAAATTTTGAACCAAAGAAAAATTCTTTTATCATGTTTGGTAACGGATTAAGATTATGTCCGGGAAGAAAGTTAGCAGTGATTGAATTAGTTTGTTTGATGGTTTTATTGTTTAGAAAATATGAAATTAATTTAGTAGATATGAATTCTCCTATTAAAACTAAGTGTAACGGTATTTTAATTTCTTGTGTCGAATTATTAGTTGAAATTAAACCAAGAAATTGAATAAATGTACTATGTCAGTCATCTCTAAATAAATTATGTACCGCAGCGGCACGTATTGTATTATGTTACACGATTTTTTTATAACTGAATAGGACTGAGTTAGGATGCATTATGATTGCGGAATACTTTACGGAATTAGGTTTTGCGATTAATTTAAACGACGTTTATATGTAATTAAATCGTTTAGGTCAGACTTATTTATATTTTTGTAAAAGTTTTGCAAAATTGTCATTATGTACTGTACGTAACGAAACGAATATAATCAACCACATTAATTGACAAACTGGATATGACAGAGTTTGGAATCGATTAAGACGGTTAATCGATTAAAATTATCCAACCCATAATTCTAGCCAGAGCTGTGAATTTTTGATCACGTGTTCTCCGAACTTGTATTAATTTTTTAATAATAATAATAAAATAAGACTTTTCTTTAACTTTTGTATTATAAAAAAACAATTTGGTGCAATCTGCGGCCAAAAAAAAAAAAATTTTTTAATGTTAATATTTGTCGATTATTAATCGATTAGGGCCCTTGGTTAATCGATTATTAATCGGTTAAGGTTTTTTTGGTCGGTTTCAACCTCTAGGATATGATACAGCTGAACCTGTCAAGAAGCTGCAAAATATCGTTCAAAGCCACAGCTTTAGGAAATGATCCAGTTCGGGAAATAGTCAATCGAAAAATTGATTTCAGGAAAATGGTACTTGGGAAATCATACTGCATATACTGCAACCAGTCTGACAATCGATTAAGGAATAAAATCCCATTTAACAAATTTACCACATGGGGGATTAACGGATGAACTGGCCCCGAGTTTAGAAGTCATGCACTTGCCCCTATAAAAAATTTTTATCCGAATATTTCCATTATTTCTCCGTGTCTTCCGTAAAAATTCCGTGAAAATGATACATTCACGGATATCCGTGTTAGCGAGATGAAAATTTCCATGATTTAAGGCTATAAATTCCATGAAAATGATACATTCACGGAAAAAACATGGAAAGATAAAACACGGATCAGATTTTTTACAGGGTGCACGTGATAGCGTTAATCGTTAATACCAAGGAACCCCTACCACCTGGCCAGAATTATAGCGATTTCGCCCAGAATTATGAGGATCTTGACTGGCATTAAGTGTAAAAAAAGGGGGTGCTTATATACTACAAAATACGGTGAAATGACGATCACTCATATTGAATCAAATTTAAAATGAGATGTTACAAAATACAACAAAAATATATATATACATGTATAATCCTGAAAAAACTAAGTTAAAGGAATTTAAGTAGCTGTTTAGCAACAAAAAAGAAAGAAAGAAAGAAAAGAGAAACGATAAGATGATCTTTAAAATAGAGAATTTTGAAATTAATAATTTTATTTTATCGTTTTTAAGTACAGTATTAATAATATATGTGATATATTATTATTACAAATATTTTACTCGTGTTAATCCTTTACCTGGCCCTTTCCCGTTCCCACTAATTGGCACTCTTCCTTATATTATTTGGTATAATGGAGATACCACAATGTTTTATAAATATTGTTACGAGAAATATGGTGGCATATATGAAACTAATAATTTATTGCGATGCATAGTATTATGTCGAGCAGAATATCTTGAGGATTTTTTATCAAAGAGTACACATGGAATGAGATCTGCAAATTACAAGGGATTAAAAGAATTGGGAATTGAAGGAAAAGGAATAACGTACAATAATAATTTTAAGTCTTGGACATTTAATCGTCATTTTTTTAATCAAGCTATTTTGTCACCGAAATTTACTAATGAAGTTATTGATTGGACAAACGAACTTTTCAATGAATTAGAAGGTTATTGGGATAAGTTATTTTCTAGAGAAGAAATTATCAAAGAAAAAAAAAATAAATTAGATTTTTTTATTTGGTTTAATCATTATAAAAATGATATGATAATCAAATTATTAACTGGGGAAAGGACTTATTCAATGGCAAATTATTTTAATACTCTTAGTGATGAAAAATCTGGTCATCAATCAGAGAGAGTCGAAGATTCTGAAAAATTATTTCAAGCAATTCGTAAATTTCATACGGGATATTTATTCTTTTCCGTAACTACTCCTTTTATACGACGTTATGTTCCGTATTATAAAAATATAGCAAATGATATACTTCAAAACATAGGTTTTACCAATCAAAAACTGGATGAAATTATTAAGAGACGTAGACAACAAATTGAAGATACACCATTGGACAAACCCTTACCTCATGATATGTTGACATCGATGATTATCAAAAATACATTTCGTGATGGTAATTATATCGAAACTGGTGAAGCCAATAGATCTATGACTGACAGTGAAATTCGTGTCAATTTATTCGATGGAATTTCCAATGGATCTTACAAAGTAAGTTTTTAGAGAATTTTATGTTTTATTTTTAACATAAATGCAATATGCTTTAACTTGAATTATATTAACAATTCCTTTTTTTTATTTCAAATATAGTCTGCAAATATGCTTTCATTCATTATTTATTATATTGCACATCATCCAAATGTGAAAAAGAAAATGTTAGAAGAAATTGATAGTATATTCCAAGATGATAAAATGCGAACAATTAATAAAGATGATTTTTATAATTTAAAATACTGTGAAGCAATTGTAAAAGAAACAGCTCGCATTCTCCCAATTGTGCACTTTAATACAAGATATATTGATAAACCTAGTGAAATAGCAGGATATCAATGGCCGGCTGATACATTGTTTTTAGCTAACATTCAAGCTATTCATAATAATAATGATTATTGGGAGAAACCTAATAAATTTAACCCTGATAGATGGATGGATGAAAATTTTGAACCAAAGAAAAATTCTTTTATCATGTTTGGTGGAGGATTAAGATTATGTCCAGGAAGAAAGTTAGCAACGATTGAATTAGTTTGTTTGATTGCTTTATTGTTTAGAAAATATGAAATTAATTTAGTAGATATGAATTCTCCTATTAAAGTTAAGTGTGATGGCGGTATTTTAGTTTCTTGTGTCGAATTATTAGTTGAAATTAAACCAAGAAATTGATTTTCTTATTACTATATCATCTCTAAATAAATTTAATATTTTATATTTACCGCAGCGGTACGTAATGTATTATGTTACACAATTTTTTTTATAACTGAATAGGACTAAATATATAAAGTTAGGATGCATTATGATTGCGGAGATATTTTACGGGATTGGGGTTTGTGATTGTTCATGAATAATTTAGACAACATTATAACCCTATAAAAAATTTTTCGGAAAAATGATCACGTGCCTGAGTTTCTTCGAAATAAAAACTAGAAAAATGATCATTTATTGGAGTTTTTTCTAGATTTTTTCATATGGTAAGTAATTAAATCATTTATTTTGGCAAAAGTTTTGCAAAATTGGCATGTATTACTGTACGTAACGAAATGAATATAATCAACACATTAATTGGCAAACTGGATATGGTATAGCTGAACCTGTCAAGAAACTGCGGAATATTGTTCAAAACCATAGCTCTCTTAGTAGTTATAATACCCCTTTCATTTTCTGGCGATATAATTATGTAAGTTTCAAACATATAATGTGTCAAAGCTCTGAAATTTACAAAATTCTTCAGGCCGCATTATACGGTAGATCCTTGTAATAAAAAATATGGCCCATCAGGATAATATTTTATGTATTATCAAGATTATATTGCGAATTTAATATCAAATCTTTTAATATCCAATATTGACTATATCGGGTTTTAAAATAAAAGACCTAAAGTAATACTGTTTATCAATTTAAGAAAAAATCCCATTTAACAAATTTATCACATGCAGTTAATAATTGAAGTGGTAATATTTAATTTAGAGAGCGTCATACATCTCATTGTATAATTGACAATCACACATCTTGAATCAAATTATGTCGGTGATCAACTAATATTGTACGACTGTACGTATCGACGTATCGTCGAAAATAGCGAATTATTAAATTCGGCATGTTGAATATGCTATATATTATTCATAAATGCATATTAAATAATGCCATAAATTGTAAATCTATAATGCTTATGTTGATTTTTTGATAAATATTCAAATGGATTTCTTTTTTTTATATCGCGCAATCTTTTTATTTTACGGTATTTGAATTACGGCATAAGGGTATAAACTCCATACACCGTAATTAATTCCGACGACAAATATAGTGTGTGTAAAATAATTTCAAATTACTAGTAATACAAGAAAAAAAAAAGAAAAATATAAATATCCTGAGAAAATAAAGTTAAAGGAATTGAAGACGCTGTTCAACAGCGAAATCCCGAAACTCAAAATCCCGACTCCGAATCCCGAAATCCAAAATCCAGAAAAATTGGCCCACATTAAGCTTTAATGCTGCCTGAAAGTCGTTCTGTAAAGATTTTGACCTGTTGGATTTTAGGATTTTGAGTTTCAAGATTTTAGACGACACCCGTTCAACATAAAAAAAAAAATAAAATAAAGAAAAGAGAGACGATAAGAAGATCATTTGATGAGCCTTTACCGCATAATATGTTGACATCGATGATTATCAAAAATACATTTCGTGGTGTTAATTATATCGAAGCTGGTGATCTATGACTGATAGCGAAATTCGAGTCAATTTACCTGAAGGAATTTTAGTGGAACTTAGAAAATTTTATTTTTTTGCGATAAATCATCGAAGTTTAGGCCATTCCGAATCAATTTTTAGTTTAACGTCCTCCTTTCCCCCTATTTTTGAAAATTTTAAAATAATTTAAACACATATGTTCACATATGTTTAAAGCCCCCCTCTCTTTTCTGAAATTGGGTGTACCAAATATTTCCGATTTTACCGAAACTTCCGAAAATTTTAATATGTTTAAATATTATATATGTTTAAATTATTCCCTCCCCCCCAAAATTTTCAGCCAGAAAAAACGTTAAACTAATTATTAGTTTGGAATGGCCTAATAACATAAATGTAATGTTCTTTAACAACTTGAATTATAATAACCATTACTTTTTTATAGTCCGCAAATATGCTTTCATTCATTGTCTATTATATGATTGCACATAATCTAAATGTGAAAAAGGAATGCTAAAGAAAATAATAGTGTATTTCAAGGTGATATAATGCGACCAATTATTAAAGATGATTTTTATAGTTTATAAAATACTTTGAAGCAATTGCAAATGTATATTATTTTGTATAAATGAATTTATAATTTTATATACTTTATAATGAATTTGTTACGAAAAAATTCGGTAACACCATAACAATTTTTTCGTATCTTCTGTATATTTTATATCGAACATTTATTCCGTGTTTTTTTTATTCCATGTTAGTATGTCCGGATGAAATTTAATTGTTTATTTAATTATTAGTATATAAGAACTCTCATTTATTATGCTTACAATAATTATATTAATTTTATCATGATAGAATTTTTATTTTATTTTCTAAATACATCTTATCATGTCATGATATTATATCGAAGATCTTAGACCAATATCTAATATACGCCAACCCAATTTTCTTAAATCCTTTAGAACACCAAATGTAAATAATGCACGGAATTTATAGCCTCAAAACATGGAAATTATCCAAGTTGCTTAGATTTTTTGTTATTTTTTCCGTAAATGTATTATATTCACGGAGTTTTTACATAAAATTTTTGCAGGGATAATTTTTAAATAAAAATTAAGAATAAATTACTTAATACTTGTATTATTTATTGGTTATTACTAAGTTTTACACATATATTCGGTTAATTTGCAAAATCAAAATTTTGTCTGCTATGCAGAAATAATTCGTTGTTCTAATGTTTCCTTACTAAGATTTTCATATTAAATTTATCATCTTGTTTGTTGTTTAAAAGAAATAATTTTGATTATAAAATTTCCTACCATATTAGTAAAAATTTAATAACGGCAATTGTCCAGAGTGAACTATATCTCGTATTAACCCATGTATTTTCTTTACATCAATCCACTTACGTCATCTCAATTTCTTTTTGGGATGATCCTTCTGATTATGCACCTTTCGTCCTTTCGTAACACAAGTAACGATATTTTTTTTATAATTTATTAGTTTATAACAACAGAAATAATTAGTTTATCAAAAAATAATAAGGCAGCGCCCGCAGCGGGAAGTAGTGGTATAACGTATGTATTTTGGAAAAAGCTAAAGATACTACAAAATTGCTTTTAATATTAATAATTAATGAGTGTTTAGAGAATGAAGAAGACTGGTGTATCCAATTGAGAAGAAAGAAGGTTGGAATAAGGATCTAAATTTAACGCGTCCGATAACTCTTATTGAAACAGCAAGAAAACTAATGATGAAAATTTTAAAGAAAAGACTTGACGCAATATTATCAGTGAAATTCTTAATCCTAATAATTACGTGGCATTGAGTAACAACTGTGTGTTTGAACCAATTAAAATTATTCAAGGAATTATAAAAGACGCCAACAAATATAAAAAGGAAGCTTGAATTTTACTAATGGACATTTCAAAGGTCTATGATTCTGTTAGTAGTATTATGCTTGAAAAAAACTTAGGACGCTTAAAACTTCCTACAAAACTCATCAATATAGTAGGATATCATTAATAACAGATTTAATAGAGTTATTGTAAACAAAGAAGTTACGATGTAAGGGACGGTTTAGACCAAGGTGAGATTTGGTCACCAATATTATGGCGTATTTTTTACGATGTTTCACTAACGAGACTAGAATTAGTAAGAAATGAAGTTTGTTATAGAATTGAAGTAAGATATAAAGACGATGTACGATCAAGTGATGAAAAAAAATAGATGAAAATTTGACATTCAACACGACTGCTTTCATGGATGACACCATTTTACACACTATCATATACAGTTCACCCTCGCTATAGTGAATTTTTATATAGTGAATAATTTGCTATAGTAAAGAAAAGCTCAGGTACGGATTTTCTATATAAATAATAATTCTTAATACAGTTCACCTTCGCTATAGTGAATCCCTTACTATAGTGAATCTTAACCTTCAGCCCATGAGCTTCACTATAGCGAGGGTGAACTGTATATTAATATTATTAATAATTCCTTCTAATAGTAATGTAACGATTATAACAGATGAGCAGATAATGAGAATTATTATTAACTTTATAAATGAGAGAAATATACGAAGACGTCTTGATAATAAATACATGGTCGAGTTATCTTTTATTGAAGAATGATTAGATAAGTATAAAATTGATATTATCGAGGTAGAAAACCATAATTTTGCCTACGTAGAGAAATATAAAAAGGATTTAGAAGACGATATTAAAAAATCAACGTTTACTTATTAATGGATTATACTTATTTATACGTTAAAACTCAAAAGTAATAATATAATAGTTCAAGAATTCACGTTATATTGGAAGAGTTTTTTAATTTCAGGAAATTATCGTAACTGGACTAAAAAAGTTACAATTGCTAAATATGAAAATGAAATATTACATCGTGCGCTATTAAATGATATTTTTGGTATTATTAGTCCTCATTAAATAGATTGCGGAGACATTTAATTTTATTAGTAATAGAAATGTTCATAACAAATTTCAATGTAACAAAGAGGATAGTTTTGATGGGGTTATAAAATTAATAATATTATATGAACGGGAAACAATATGATAGACGGAGCGATATAAGATGTAATAGAGAGATTGAGACTGGAATCACATATGGATTTGTGAAGATAATAAAAGATCGATAAGGAAAGTTGTTTTTTCAACGCTTGTAGATTATGAAGAAAATTCAAAACAGAAACATCAAGATAAGAAAATACTAGAGTTATTACATTCAATTATTTTAGGTCGTGATCAGGTGATGAAACAATAAAAGAATTATGGGAGTTATGCTTTAATAATTTGAGAACTATTATTTGAAATTATCGTTGAGAAAAATTAAATAATATTAGTGGTAGAGATAAAAGAGCGATTGGACATAGTCGTAGTTACAAAGAAAATGATGATAAAACGAACAAAAACTCAAAAATATATAGAAAAAGCAAATTAAAGAAATTATTAGAATTAGAA